AGGTAGGTAGGTAGGTAGGTAGGTAGGTAGGTAGGTAGGTAGGTAGGTAGGTAGGTAGGTATTTTTTTTCTTCAAACATTTAACAAAAAAAAATGTACTCCCAGCAGAGTTAAAAAACTGAACTGAGTTACTGGTTTTGTGCATGAAAGCAAATAATACTTGTCAAGCAGAGTTTCTGCACTGAGTCATTTAATTAAAATTTTTAAAAATCTAGGTTAATCTCACTGTAATCTTGGAATTAATCTAGATTTAAATTGCTCATTTGAATTCTGCCAAAAAAAATCATGATATAGATATACTGTTATTCTATGATATTGAGCTACAAATTGTGTCATTTTAGTGTCATACACTTTGAGGGTAGTTTGGTAAGCCCCCCCAACTATTCTATAAATATTATCCTTTCATCCATTCTCTTCCACTTGTTCTGTCAGGATCGCATAAGGGCCAGTGCCTATCTCCAGCAGTCTATGGGCGAGATGGGCTGTACGTCCTGGAGAGGTGTCCATTCTTTCACAGGACAACACAGAGTCACAGTGTCATACAACACTGCACACACACACTCGCACCTTAGGACTATGAGATAGGAATCCCTTAAAAGATAACAAACTAGCAGTAAATAAAGAAAGCGAAAACAATTTTATTTTGTTTGTTTTAAGAGGATTGATTTGCCAAAAAATAAAAATAGAATCACAGCAAGCAGACCATTCCTTTAATTGTAAAAAAAAAAAAAAAAAAAGCTTTCTGAATGTTTCTTCTGGGAATTTTAACCATCCATCTTGATCCATGTTTTAAAGAGCTATACCTTTGGTGATGAGCTCCAAGTCCTGTTCATCTCAGATTTCATTTAGAGCTATCAATGGACTATTGCAAAAAGCTAAGATCAGTCAGAGAAAAAGGTTTTAGTAGAAGTATGCACAATGAATATTCTGCGTTTACATAGATTCTAATAAAGTAAAATATTTAAACACATTTATTTAGAATTAGAACAAAATAATGACAATATAAACATTTGAATCATTTGCATTCAAGAGGAACAATAAGCATTCAATATGCTCTGAAGCTGATAAAGAGGTTAAAGTTTTTCCATAATCAGTTGAATGTGTATACTTAATCTAAAAAAAGATATGATCAAGTGCTTTTTTTTTTACATGATGTCAAACAATAAACCATTACGTTGTTGCACACTTGCAAAGAGACCTTACAACAAAGTTGTCTAAATCTTAGTCATGTAACAGAAAAAAATGTAAAAACCGATTGATTTAAACATTTTGCTTGTGATGACTGTGTGTCACATTGTCGTCCTTTCAGCCTGTAAAGGAGAAAAATAAATAATGTGGTTAGAGGGAAGAACTAAAATAGGAGGTATTTATTAGACATATCAGGGAAGTTTTTCTACTTGTTATGGCTACTCTTACAACATAATAAGTTCCCAAAAATCAGTTCAAAAATATTAGCAGAAATCAAAAGCTTTTTTTTACCCAATGTAAAAATTAATTATTTATTAAAGCTATAAAAGTTACAAGGGTACAAAATAGAATTCTGTTGAATAAACCTATTATTAAAAAAAATAAAATAAAATTGTTTAGGTAATAAATCATATTGATGTGGTCATTCTTTAAAGATCACTAACCAAGTTGGAGCTGCCACTTGAATCTTGAATTTTGGAACATTCTGTAAAACATTAAATGGCTATATTATGCTTTTTGAAAAGAAATTAAATAATCCGGATTCAATAACTAGAAACAAATAGGAAGACCTACTGGTTCTAAACAGTACTAATAACGCCACAATAGCAACCAAAATCAATGAAACCAGAGGGATGATGAGGCTCAGTAGTGCAGGAAAAGTTCTGAAAAATACATTTTACATTGCATATTAGACAACGGTAAAAAAAT